ATTTTTTAAAGCTGCCTCTGCTTTTCGAATTTCTCTTTCCAATTTTTGCCACTTACAAAACTGTTTATTTTCAAGAGTAAGCCTTTTTTTTAAATTATTTGACGTGTATTACCCATAGAAATAATAGCCTTAGCTAATGGATCTTGTGATTTTCATTCTTAGAAGCTTAGTTATCCTTTATTTCTGTTGAACTTTCTTCATTAATTTCTTTTTCTTTAAAACTGTCAATTAATTGAATATTATCAGAGAAACCATCTATCAAAAATCCTGGATTGTGATTTTTGCACGTTCTCAATAAAACATCAAGTCTTTCAAATCATTTTCACTTTTCTTGAACTTTTCTTTTTGTTTGGTTTTCCTTCTTTTTAATTTCATTATACTTGATTATAAGATGAGATAGTTTATTTTTCCTATAATTTTCCTAGAAAAACCTTAGCAGCAGTTAATTTAGCAAAGCTTGATTTATTCTTTTTATAGATAGCAAAGTTTTCTTCAAGAAAACTTAACAATAATTCTGTACTTTCGTCGTCTCAGCCAGTTTCATCCTCAGCATGTCCTGTTTTTTCTGTTTTTCAGTCATTCTTCTTTTTGGAGACTTTTGTAGTCATCAAAGATATTAAAGTATTGACAATAGGTATTATTTCCTAAATTTTAGGTATAAATAGTTGTAATGAAGTAAGTGTTACTATAGCTATAATATCAGAATTAAAATCTTGTGAATGTTCTCGTTCTCGTGGAGGTTCTTGTGAAAATCCTTGTAGAAGTTCTTATAGAGATCCTTGTGAAAGTTCTTGTAAAGTTCTCTGGTGAAAATTCCCATGAAAGTTCTCATGGTTTAGGAGCAATTGGATGAAAGGTGATCTTAGATTAGGCATGTTAACTGATATAATTTGGTAAAGATTTTAGTTAAAAGGACGCGTAGACGTATCATGATTGTCGTCTATTACACTAACTTTTATTGACTAATCTCTAATCATTTTTTTAACCAATCATTTAAGGGCAGATTTTACGATCAATCTGATTCGATCTAGAATTGAATAGAACTAATATTTGTATATTGCTTTATTACATTAAAATTGAACCTTTTTAAATTACTTTTTGACTTTTAATCAAGATCATTTTTTAGTCTCTTTAACTTCAATTTGAGAAACTTGTTGTGAAGTTAATTATTCTAACTGAACTTTTAATCTTTTAACTTCTTCTTTATAATTACCATTCTCTTCTTCTAATTGTTTAATTCAATTTAACAATTTTTGCTTTTATTTTTTACTTCACTTTTCAGATTTCTCTTAAAATTTAGCTACTTCTTCTTTTTCAATATTTACTCTTCTTTAGCAGTTGATAGTTTTTTTTTAACTTCTTAATCTTTTTTTCTAAATGATAATCAAAAGATTTAAAAATGCCTGCTTGCTTAATTTTATTATTTTCTAAAAGATTACAGAAACAGGATTCTCTGTTTCTTTTTAGTCACCCACAACTTTCACAGTAAGGAAGAGTTTCATTCTCTAAATCCTTTTTACAATTATTGCAGATGAAAGCAATATCAGCACAGTCTTCATTATTATTATATGTCATCACTTTATGAGTAGCAAAAGCGAAAATTAGATTTTTAGCATGAAGATCTAATATGTAGTAATTACAATCTTCTTTTCTACTACCTTTTTCTAATTCTAATATTCTATATTCTAATCTCATGCTATTTATTTTTTTGTAAAATATAGGTGTTGAACTTTTTTTGAACCTTTTCCTTTGCTTTCTTAACTAACTTTTTCAATTGTTGAAGTTTATTTGTCTTTTTTTCTTTTTTCAAACTCTTTCTTAATTCTTAGTTCTTCACTCTCAATTCGATTAATCTAATATCTTTTCATTTAGCTACCTCATAAATATTCTTTTTGTAATATTCTTCAGATTTATCTAGTACTTTTAAGTTCATTTCAATTTCAATATCTACTCTTCTAATTCTTCGATTCTGTTATCTCTTTCTTCCAACTCTACCTTTAATTCTCTAATTTCATTTTCTAGTTCACTTACCTTAGCAAATTTTTTATTATCACTAACAGTTAATTTATTTAAACTGCTAATTAATTCATTTGGAGAAAAATTTTTAAGTTCATAGTTATCATAACGGATTTGACTTCTTCAATCTTCTTCATATTCTTTTTCAATAATTCTTTCAGTGATTAGATTATCTTCTTTTTCTACTTTACCTTCATTTCATTTTTAAAATAATTTTTTGCTTTTTTCAGAGTTTAATTTGATAAGATTAATAAAAATATCTTTTTAGCCTTATTTCTTACATTTTAATGAATACTTATTTGCTTATAGTAAAGATAATAACTGTAAGTATTTAAACTACATTTCTGCGAGCTAGTTCAATAGGATATAACTTACAAAAACCAGACTACTTTTCTTGATCACAATAAACTCTCATAATTTCACCAACTACATCTACATCAGGATTATCAATATAATGACTTTCACTTAGAATGGTAGCTATTTATGCCCTAATTTCTTCATTATTCAACTGTTTAAATTGTAATGGTATTTTTAATTTTTCATTTTCTTGTTCTTTTTTGGCTAACTGCTTTTTCAACAACTCTATTTCTTTTAATAGTTCTTGGTTGTTTTGTTGTTATTCTCTTATTATGTTTGTCATAGTATTCTTATTTCTTTTATAAATATATATAATTCTCTCTTTATATATAATATATTTTTACATTTAATATTTTCTTTAAACTTTGAAAAGCAAAAAAAACTAGCAAGTTCATTAAAAGATTAAACTTATTAAACTTAATGACAGCAAGAAAGGAAAATTAATAAAGTCACGAAGGTTATTTTTATTTTAAATATTATATTCGCTATCAGTATAGATTGGTTGTGGATAAGTAACATTTTTAAATTTATCTTCAACAAATAGACAAATATTATGATAAAGATATTCTTGCCTTTTATGATCTAGAGAAGGTGGTGTTAATACCAAAATAGATAAAGATTTGATTTCTTTGGTAATTTTGAAAACACTTGATTTTCTAGTTTTTAACAAATTAAATTTAATAAAAGATCCATTAGCAACTATTTGAATTTTCACAATGTCAGGATTAGCTGCTTCAAAAAAAAATGTTGATATTTTTGCAAACCACTTAATTTCTTAAAAAAATTCCTAATAATAAATTAAGATCTAAATATTGAAAACCTTTCTCATTGTCATAACAATGAGCTTTATTTAATCTCACTGTACTTGATCTTTTTGCGATCTCAATAATATGATCTACACAATCTACTGTTGTATTTCAATAAAGTTTTTAATCAATCTAAAACTGCCATTACATTTAAATTTAGTATGTCTAGGTACCATAAAATTTAATTCAATACTTTTATAATAATCGCAAATCACTAGATATAGGTAAAATCAAATAGTAACATTATTTTTATTTTGACCACCTGCATTATCACAAGTAATTTTTAAATGCTTTTCACCTTTATTCAATCTCTTAATTCTATCAAAACTATACTAAGAGTACCATTAGGGCCATTACCTATTATTTCATTTTCATCAAGAATATAATTAATTTGCTTGTGTATTGTTTCATCTTGAATACCAAATAAATGCACTTTAAGTGAACTGAGATAGTAAATCTTATTTACCTATTGATTAGAATGTGAAACATAAACATTTTGTATTCAATTGTAACTGTAGTAAATAGTAGCATTAACATTACAATAATCAATTTCGTCTTCTATCACAAGATAATTCTCATCTACAAATTTTCTTTGTTCTGCTGCTAATTTTGTATTCTGATTATAATAATTTCTTATTAACTTAACCTTAGTTAGATATTCTTTGTATTTTGTTAGTAAATTTTTTACTGCTTCCTTCTTATGGGTATTATACTGTAAGCTATTCTGAAAATGTTAGCGCATATCACATAAATCTATTTTTGGGCTCATAATTTGAATATAAGGTGTTAATTGATATCACAACTTATAAAATGCATCATATTTTAACGAATTTAATGTGCTATCTCATTCAAGACCTGCAAGAAAATCATGATAGACTAATTTATAACTAGTTTCTGCTGGTAGAAATATAAATGATTGGATAATTCGGTTGACATTTCTACTAGGACTTGATAATCCATGAACTTCAGCATAATTCTCCAGACAATTCTTAATTGCTGCTGCAACATTTTATCTATTATCATTTTGGTTTTTCATTGTAGCATTCTTTTTACATTACTATGAATTCTTGAAATAAATCCATTATTTGTTAAGTGATTTCTAATATTTTCAAAATAAGTTTGACCAATTCCTAACATATTAAGATATATTTTCTGACAAAGTAATGTATTATGATTTTAATGATAAAATATTCTTTTATTAGATCTAATTTTTCTTTTAAGACATTTACTATTACTTATTATTCCACCATCCATAACTTTAAGTTGAGCCATTAAAAATATATCTTGTTCTGATTTAGATAAAGCTTGAAAATCTCCTCGCATTTCTGCAAATTTTTCTTTTAGAATTTTATTTGAACAACCACAATTACAACCATTTTTTAGAAAATTTATTGCTTTTTCATATTCAGTAAAATTATTACTATTATTCATTATGCAGTATATCACTTTGTAGTTTTTTAGCTGTTAAAAAAAGATATATTTATTTTTATAAACTTTATGTATGATAAATAGTAAATACATCGCTTTCAAATATTTGAAAGTAAACTAACCAGATACAATTTATATTTGATAGATTACAATAAAAGAAACTTTATATTTTGGAATAAAAATTACTATTTATTAATAATCATGCTAATAGTAATTACTACATTTATTAAAATTTATTATTCAATTTAATTATTTGTTGCTTTGACAATAAACCTATATTTACTCTTTTTTAACTATCTATACTATATTATCGGTATCATTGTATTTATCCAATAGTAATTTCTCATCCAGATTGCTAGAACACCAGGGTAAAAATGTTTCAATATATTTAGTTCAATCTCCTAATATAGAATTATAGGACCACATTTCGTCATAAGGATTAATGTAGGTACCAAGTATTGCACGTAAACTTTCAATAGTTTTTTCACGTGCAACTTTAAAAGACCTGAGACTTAAAATAGCATAGTGTGTGGTTGGTTTTCCCTGATCAGACCTAAGGGTAGCTCTCCATTCCTCCTCCAAATTTTTAAATCCTTTTTCATGTGCTCCAAGTTGCTAATACATGGCAAGATAACAAGAATTAACTTCTGTTAGATCACTTTTTTCAAGAACATATTTAGGTGTCAACTTAGATGTTGCATCTATTTTAAAATTGGAATTGGTAGACTTTAGGTTGTGATTCTTGATTTGAATCATCCAGAATGTATAGTCACTAGAGGTTGGAACTGGTTATCGATATCGGATTTATAACTGGTTTTTATCGTATCGAATTAAAACCAGTTCAGAATTTTGTAAAATCGATAACCGATTATATTTATAATCAATAACCGGTTTTTATCAGTTTATAGTATAGGAGTACAGATGATGGTAAATTCTGTCATTTTCATTTGAAAATCAATCACATACATATATTATTATGCATTATTGTAAATATTTATATTAATTTATTATAGATATTATAAAAGTAACCTGCAGATAAAAAAAAAATTTAAAAAAAAATTTAAAATAAATTTAAAAAAAATTCAGTAAAATTTGTTACTCTCTTCAA